TGATATAAATATAGAATCTTAAATTCTGTATATTTGCACTTACAGGCTCTCCTTTGGGCCCTGGTCCACCAGAAGCTCCTTTGGGACCAATTTTACCCTGTTAAAAGACACATTGAGACTTGATATTTACATCTAATGTCTACGCTCAAATCACAGATCAAAATTTTTTTACATACTATTTCTCCTTTGGGTCCTTTGAATCCCTGTGGTCCTTTTTCTCCGCCATCACCCTGGAAACATCAGATTAAACACACACACAGCTATTCATTGATGGGATCTGCCATTTATTTAAGCTGTGAACTTCTAACCAGCACTAATAAACTCTTTCTATTTTTGTGATATAAACATTGGGAGACTCACTGTCTTTCCAATAATGCCAGGGATGCCAGGCTTGCCTCTGAAACCAGGGAAGCCCTGGGGACAAACAGAGAACGAGGTCAAAAGAAACACCTTGACACAAATCTACGTCTACTGAGGGAAAACAGGTAAAAGCTGCTCACTCTGTCGCCTACAGGTCCCATTGGGCCTTGTAAACCTCTTAGACCACGTGGACCCTGAAACACAGCATTTGAACATTTTGAAAGCACTTTAAAAGACAACAACAACCTATTATCATCAAATAATTCTTCAGAAAATCCTTGTCGTAGTGCATTAAATCAGCAAAACTTATGTGGGCAAATCTCACCTGCAGACCCACAGTGCCAGGAAGACCTGGTGGACCCGGTGGTCCAGCATCACCCTAGAGACAAAACAGGGCAAAATGTAAACATTAAATCACAGAAAGATGTTGATTCTCTTTTCAGCCGTAATATAAAATAATAATAACTGAAACAGAAAAAATCTTCAAGCCATATATCTAACTCACTTTCTCTCCATCTTTTCCAGATTCTCCCTTGTCTCCTTTATGCCCAGTGTGACCCTAAATGAACACAAACACACACAGAAGTCAATGCCATCATGAGCCGAGTGCTTATATTTACACACTGGGAGATTTCAGCAACATTTTGAGTTTACTGTGATGTAGATCTAATAAACTGTATGACGACAACACCTCTGCTTCTTCTTTTCACCACACAGCTTCCTCTGTGCAGTCGTGATGGACTACGGATCATTTAAGCAATGCTCCCACAATTCAGCTCATTTTTAATTGAATTTTATTGGAATGCCAAACATTTAGTTTTGTGCATTTTAACTCCATACATTGTTTTTTTCATGAGCAATGCCATGCTACATTGCTGTTGGTAGGTTAGTAGATATAGGCTGTAGCAGCAGATGCATTCTGAGAACGTCATCTTACATTTCTGAAACACTTTTGTTAGTGCTACTTAAATTGCTTTTTATAGTATGACTCTTTCCTGTCGGCCACCCTTGGTCTAGCATCGTGCTTAAAAAACAACCCAAAACAAAAAAACCCAAAACTCTGTTTACCTTGAATCCCGGCATTCCCGGAGGACCAGGGGGGCCAGGGGGGCAGATTGCAGGACACTGCAGAGTACAGAGACAAAAAACTGAGACCTCTACAGCCAGTGTATGTAGAGGGCACATCTTCATTTTTCTGCAATCACACCGTTTTCACAAGAAACACTTACCAGAAGGTCTCCATTGAGATCATGAAGTGTACCGGGAAGACCCTGAAAGATGACACACACACAAGTGAGAAATACGGCGACAATTACTTTAAACGTGACTTTCCTGATATCTACTGGGTGACTGGGAAAATATGTCAATGTGGCTACTGTACCAACACCAGATATACAATAATAACTGCACTTACTGGGAGTCCATCTGGGCCAGTAGGTCCCGGTAGTCCTGGAAGACCCTCAGGACCCTGAGAAACACACAGAGGAGCATCAGGGGAAGCAGAAGCACCTTCAGCATCTCAGGATAAAAGACGTGATTATTTTCCGAGTTGGAAGGTTGTGATGGAACTAGATTAAAGTCAGGTATTTTCTTTGTACTGTACTCAAACAAAAATGTGATTTTCTTGTTTTCAGTTCACATTGTTGTTTGAGCTTAACTGTACAGAGTGAAGTAAACTTGAAACCTCTAGAGCAATCAGAACAATTTCTTTTAAAAAGGAAACGTCTTGCTAGACTTTTTTTTTGTAGAAAACCCCTATCAAACACTATTTATGATTATTTAGTGAACAACCGATGACCCGTTGCTATAGTAATTCTGAGAGTAGCCTGAACATTACACTGAGTTCTAACAGGCCTGCGGGGTCTTTGGAAACCTACTGAGCTTTTACAAATGAGCTGAGTTCAGCCTAAATAAAGTGTGACCCAGTAGAAACACTGACGATGTGTCCTTCTCGGTCAGTGGTTATTCTTATACTCCTGCTACAGTATACAGAAATTTAGGGCAATGTTGTCGTGGTTGATTTGAAGCTGAGATCACAGGATCTGTTAGCTTTACTGTAGCTTATTGTTTCTGCTGCAGAGGCTCGTGTATACATTTTCTGCGTTTATCTTTTCACATTAAAAATGTGGAACATAAGAGTTTTCTGTAGTTACAGAAATGAAACAGACTACCTCATTCTTATTTGAATGAAGAAATCCCTTAATGATGACAGGAGATCTTAATTAGAGACACTCACCACTGGGCCCTGGGGTCCGGGTCCGCCTGGCAACCCGTTGGTGCCGGGAAGTCCCTAGAAACAAAAGAGACTGGGTGTTCGCATGCCACCAGAGTACATATGCCGCACACTGTCTGAACTACATCAAAGAATAACGAGGATCTAATCGCAGAACGCAAATAAGTAAAAATAAATAAATAAAAAAATGACACCACGGGTGTACTCCTCCAGAACAACATAAAAAGACAGTGCTGTGTACTCACTGAAGATCCTGGTCTCCCTCTGCCCTACGGAAGACACAGGAAGGCAAATTAAGTCACAAACACCTGGGAAATGATTAGATTCACACACTGAAACAATATCCACCATGAGAATATTTCTCATGGATTGTTGCTTTGAGGCCAGTGTGCGCTTATGTATATGACATCTGAGTAATCCTAAGACAAAATGTGACACTGCTGCTTGAGTCACACAAGAGCAGATCATAAACCTGACTTAACAGGAGCACAAGTACAGAAAGGTATTCTCTCAGCATGAAATAATAAAGTTGGAAAAAAGCAACTGCTGTAGGTTTAATAATTACTGTGGGTGAAAGTATTTTAGGGAAATATTCTGTGTAACAGTAGCTTCAGTCATGTGCTTACTTATAAGAGAAAAGGAAAATAAAGGCTTGTTAGGTTTTACACATGTGGGGTTACTTACAGGAGGTCCAGGTGGCCCAGGAGGACCTGCTTCACCCTGTAGATACACAAAATCACAATCAGTCTGTCAGGCATAATCACACCTAGTAGAAACTTTTAAGGCCCATTCTATTCAATTCAGTTCAGTTTATTTATATAGCGCTAACTCACAAAAACACTCACCCCAAGGCACTTTATATTGTAAAGTAAAGACGCTACAATAAATGCTCACATATAGACATAACAGAAATTCAGATTTTTTTCCTTTTTATATATATACTTTAGCTTTAAAGTAGCCTGTCTGCAAGAGTTTGTGTTTTATGTGTTAATAAAGCCTGCTATTCCAGCAGGATGAACAGTAACTTATTCTAAATGAAAAAAATAGTTTTAAACAGTACAACGTCTATCTCGAAGCAAGCTTCCATAGTTTTGGCAATACATTTCAGCCTAGTGTTAGGTCAAGAAGAGCCAGCCCAGAGTTCTGGTAGATCACCTCATCTAATGCCACTTTAAGCATCCAGTTGGTTAATATCATGCAGTGCTGAATTTGTCTTGGTGTGTCTGCCGTTTTTTTGCATTTGCAAGCCACTTTGCAACCCGTGCCCACCCAAACACCTGCTGTCATGCTGTATCAGATCTGTGATCTGCTACTATTTATGGCATATAAATGAAAAATAAAGGTTGGATGGGTTGGGGATGGAGCAAATCATTTCACTGCTCATGCAAGGGGCCTAAATTCAACTTGGTTTAAGTTAGGTATTAAGAATTACTACCTTGGATTTAGAAAAAGGTCATTGTCTGGGTTCAAATTCAATGGCTGTGATCTCTTTTAAAGGTTTGATTTCTTGTTTGTAATGATGGTTCCTTCCTGCTTTCTCTGGACAAAATATGTGCCTCTGACACAACAATTACAATACAATACAAACAATTACAACAATGTAATACTCTTTTCTGGCATCGTTGTATTTTTACTCAGTTGTATACAGCATTTGTATTCTATTTTTATCCTATTGTATATTTTATTCTATTTTATTCTACTGTATATAGTATTTTATTTTATTCCATTCTGTACAGTTGTGGACTGTATTTATTCTTATTGTATTCTAATTTTTGCTTTATAACTTTTGCACTGTCCACTTCCTGCTGTGACAAAACAAATTTCCCACGTGTGGGACTAATAAAGTTTATCTTATCTTATCTTATTATATCTAAATATGTCACTCAAAAATTTGTGCTCACATGACAAAATTTTAGAATTAATGTCCATGAACATGAACATAGAAAAAATATGAGAATCTTGCACTGAATTGGAGGTGTACACTGAGCAACGTTATGTACCTGAAAAAATGAGATCAGCTAACTACCTGAATATGTGGAACGACCTGGTTTTTCCATCAATGGATTTTTTGTTCCCTGATGGCAGAGGCATGTTCCAAGATGCCAGTGCCAGGATTCTTCTGGCTCAAACTGTGAAAGTGTGGTTCACGAGGCATTAGACATCATTTTCACTCGTGGATTGTCCACCACAGATTCCAGATCTCAACCCCAGAGACAATCTGTGGGATGCACTGCAGAAGACTTTAGCAGATGGACTCTCCCATCATCAGTACTGGAAGATGTCGGCAAAAAAAACGTGTGAATTGTGTGAAATATGTTAGCTAAAGGGCGTTTTTGGGCTGAGCTGTAAAGACTTCTTTTTTGTGAGCATCTCGTGTGTCGTTATGACACTTTTTCACACGTGCATGGGAGGACGGGGAGGTCTCGGAACAAAGGCATATTGTCAAATATTTAGTATTGCACATTAAAAATAAAATATTATTTGAACTCATGTGTAATATTTATACAATGATGCCCTCCCAACTAAACAAACAAACAAACAAACAAACAAACAAAAGAAAGATAAAAACAGATAATCTCATTGGGTGGGCCTAAGTTTGGTTTTCTAGCCAAGATTGAGGCTAGCTGTGGAGGACACAGTAATAAGATGCTTTTTCAATAATTATTTTTCAAGTTATTGGACTAAATGATCAAACTGTGGTCTGCTGAGGTGCCCCGTCTTCTTTTCTTTTAGTTCTCCTTTGTTTACTTCCTCCCAGCTGTATTTGTGGTGCCTCAGAGGACAATTGGCAAAATGACTCCAAACAAACAAACTCTTCAGTACTATGAGCCAGCAGTAACAGTGTAGTCGTCTGAGTAATCAGTGACATGGGTTGACACAAGCTTCCTCATTAAGTTGGCTAATTAGTGGAATTGCTAAGGGGCTTGGAGAGTGAGAGCATTATCTGTCTAGTTGGTCACTTTGAAGCCATTTTATAGTGGCCACACGGTCTTTATCATATCATATGTTATATTCATATATTCACAATGGTAAAGAAAAGCCTTCCTGTTTCATTTTAAGACGCAGCAGCAGTTGATGTCATAGGTGCTGTAATTCTGTCTTCTCTTGTGCTTGTGATAGGATAATACCTGTTTACCCTCGGCATTGGATCAAGAGTTCATTATCTCCCATGGTTTCACAGATTGGTGGGAAACGGTGTGCATTCCTAGCCGGATTATGGAAGCAGTAGAAATAAATCCGATTCTGATCCCTCATTAAAAATATTCCCACTAGGAGGCTGAGCCAGCTTGACAAATCCAGGCCGACAGAGAAAGCACAGACCTTGTGCCTATTAGGCCTCTTAAACATCTTCATGCAACAGAATCAACATGCAGAGTTTGCATGCATACATATATGTTCCTACATGTGTCTTGCAAGTGGCTGACTTCAGCTAAATTATGAAGGCCAGTGTGAAGTAGATAGGAGGTCTTTAAACCCAGCTAGTGCATCTTTAAATGTATTCGCAGTGTCCCCGAAAGCTCACAAAACTGAGAAAAACTTACTGGTTCTCCTGGGGGTCCATCCCTGCCAAGAGGACCATCAGGACCTGTCAAACCCTGGAGAGGAAGTGCAATGATGTTTTAAACAGTAACTGGTCATTTTATAGCATCTCTATGTTTGTGTACAGATAAAAACAGAGCTGGTGTCCTGTTATTTTAAGGACTGGCTGTGTTTGCTTATCAGACACTTACATCTACACCTGGAAGTCCCGGCAGTCCTTGTTGTCCTGGTCCCCCTGGTTTTCCTGCTTTCCCTTTGGGACCCTACAAAAGCAGAGTGAGTAATTTACATCCCAGATAAACAACTGATTTCTTCTTCTTGTATCACAAAATCATCATCAAACTAAAATAAAGGTAAACTCGTTAAAGGGAAAGCCTAAAAGAAAGACTGTAAAGTAACACATTTCTGATTTCAGGTTATTTAAGGCACAAGGTGTGAAGGCAGGGTAGTCGGATTACTTTTGAACCAGTAGGAAAGACTCCTAATAATGTTACGCTTAATTTATTTGTTTTGCGCATCTAGTTAATTGTTAGTGAGTTGCATATTCACTATTTAAATTTAAATGGCAGCCTTTCTTTGCTCCATAGTTCATGGATATGCATTTTACTTCAAGTGGAGGAGAAACAGTTCTGTCTCTGGATCATGGTCTTTAAACAAGTTGCATCTATTTAACACCATTTTACAATAATTTGACCTATTTTGAGGAACTCAAAGGTGCAGGAAAAACACTTACAGTTAGGTGCATGCTTATAGTTGTGGCTGAATAAAATGCATTTTGCTAAAATTGTTGGAATACTTACTGGTTTCCCTGGCAGACCGGGAGGTCCTGGTTTACCCTGTTAATCGGATTAAAAAAAAAAATAAGTAAGTAAATTTGTTTTCAAGCTAATCTTGAAAGAGACAAATTTCAAAGCCACTGCTACACAGACCCAAAAACTTTAGTGTTTTATTGGAGAGCTAGCATTAGCCCCTCTTTAATACTCATCAGTAACTTAGTGTTTTAGGTAACTGAAGCAGTGAGACTGTGGGTTGCTTCACTCTATACAATGTTTAGCTTCTGCTGTGACTGGGGAAGAGCAAACACTACCAAACCAGTCAGCGACCTGATGCTGACCGGTCACATGACAGTTTGGTTTGTATAGGGGAGGGGTGCTGAAGGTGCAGGCAGGAGGTATGAGGTGTAACTTCAGATGGTCTCACGGGGTTGGGGAATGTATGAATGGGCCCTCTGTTAGCCTAAGCGTCACTGAAGTCACAACTAAAAGTTTTCTGACATGCATGGACAACATTTGCTTTCAATGTTTTTCTTTTTTTTAGTTTAGTTTGACAAAAATCAGAAAGGATAAGGGAGTACTCTGCAACGTTAGCAAAGTTTTTCTTTTTACTTAGCTTGCCTGTAATCCAATTTCCTCTTTATCCCTGTGCAAATAAAGCCTCGTTTTATTGTTTTACTCTCTATTTATTTTTTTTTACTATAACATTATATGCTTACCTGCAATAAAAACCTTAAAGGCAAGGCATCAGGGGAATGTAAAAACATTGTCTGTATTCTCTGATTTGTCTAACTACATGCTATGATGGCCTTAACACTGTATGAGTCCTGTAATCATCTTAAGGAGCACTGTAGACAACATAAAATGTTTTTTTCAAGAAAACATAATAGGTTTTTCTAATTTAGAACAACTCTGTTCAGAAGATAAACTTAAAGCCTGCCTACCTAATAGCCATCATTATCATCTAATACTTGTAGGAGGGGCTGTGGGAGGAGTCACTCAGATAATACTAATAAATAATATCACCTATCCACACCTAAGCACAAGCAAACCATAGTATACCATAGGTAACTGAGTGTGAATTTCTATATAAACTAAATTTTCAGTTAAAAAAAAAAAATCTGTCAGTATTCTTGTTCTGTACTTTTACTCCCAATTTTGCTTAAAAGATGAAAATAAATCTAAAATAAATAAATAAATGTGGGTTTATTACCCACAAAAATATAAGTGCTTACCATCTACTCTTAACTCCCATCGTCTTGAACTTCGGTGCATGTTTAATAGTCTAAGTGACAGAGAGGTGTTTTTATATGCAGACACCCTTGGTCTACTCACGTCAGTGCCATCCCTTCCTGCTGGCCCTGGGGGTCCTTGTAGGCCAGGAGCTCCTCTGAGGCCTGGCCTCTGGAACATGAAATTAATGAGAATCAACCCTCTTTTGATGGAATGCAGTAAAAATTTGGAGGCAACAGGAAGTGATGAGAAATGTTTGGCATATTTTGACACAGTGACTGTGAGAATCAATAAGAGAGAGGGAGAGAGATAGAAAATAATACAACTAATATTAACGATGTAACGGCAAACCATATACATCACGATGAAAAACATTATTCAAATCAGTGCTGTAAGAACACTATGAGAATCCTCTTCAATTAAACCTGTACTGCTATGATCACCCAGTACAACAGTTCTAAAGACTTGCTCCAAAGCTCGGCTCAGTCAGGGAGTGAACAGAGGTTTCATTGTGCGCACTGATCTCCAATCCGCGCATTCCACAGGTTCAAGCAAAACGTCGGCCTGACTTCACTAACTAGCGCAAAAGATAGAGCCACCTGCACACAATTACACTGCAGAGCAACAAACCTGCAGAACCAGAGAGGCCCCTGTTCATTTTAGTTCACCTTTAATTTGTCAGGATGAATTACAATATATGTACAACTAAGGAAAAAGAGTCACAGAAAGCATCAGGTTATCAGGTAGTGTGTAAATGTCTGCCTGAAACCTGCCGGAAGAGAGTCACTTCTGTCATCATCATCACTGTCACCAAAACAAAAGACACACTTTTTAAATTACTGGCTTACTACATGAGATCTGCAGGTAAAAAACAAACCCATCACCAATGACACGCAAAGACAAAGAAGGGTAATAACTTAGTAACTCTTACCTGGGCTGAGGATGATATCAATAGTTGGGACAATAAAAGCACCCAAAGCGCAGAGAGCACCGCCATAGCTCCCCACTCGCCCTCACAAACCCGAGTTTATACAGAAAAAGTCAAATTCCCGGCCCTCGGTCCTCACTCGCTCCCCCCCAGCGTCCAAAACGGAGTCTTCCTTCACCTGGCGGCGCACAGCTCCTGAATAGCTTTCTCTTTAGTTCCAGATAAACCCGAGCCTCCAGCCGAAGGGGCTGAGCTAGCTGGCTGAACACAGGCGAGAGGGGGGGTGGGGGGGGAGATGGGGAAGGTGGTAGTATGCAGGGGGGGAGACAAGATTTCGGACTCTGAAAATGTGGGCCGAGCTAAAAATTTATTACAAAAACATTAAATTAACCCCCCCCCAGAAAAACCCAAAAAACTTCACACAGTAAAATGTAGGTGGAAGAAACACAAGAAATAAAAAAATCATTGGCCAGCAGGGGCGACACCTCTGGTTGTTAAAAGGAGCCTGATTATACAGAAGTAAACGGGGAAAGCTCTGCTGCTCTCCTGATGTATCCAAACGTTTTCCATGAGTTTTTAGTTTCAGTTGCTATTTTCAAGTTTAGTTTTCATACAGATTCTTGTCTTTTTAGGAGTCGAATAGAATAGTTAACAGCTGGTTGAGTGTTCACCCTCAGCATCTGAGAGAACAGCTGTTTGATACAAATGCAGGATTCTTGATAAATTTCAGTCTGGCTTTTAGAGCTTATTCCACTGAAATGTGTCACCAGTGAGAGTGACCAAGCTATGGTTGATAGGTTGACATACTGGGTAGGTGTATTGGGTCTGCTTTGGAGTGATTCTGAATCTGAATAATCAGACAAAAATTGCCACATGGTTTTGTTTTGGGGCCTTTAACATTTCTGTTATATCTTCTCTCTCTCTGTAGCACATTTTAAACATTTTAAGGACATTTCTTATCACAAATGACAGTTATATATATTGCTATTAAGCCCCAAGAATTGCTCAGTATGTTATTCATAAATGCAGACATTTATTCATCTGTTACTCCATGTACAGCTATCACTGCTAGTAATAATCATAATCATCATCATAATAATAGTATCTGTATGTAGAAGTGGCATACTATGGAGGAGTATTGCTATACAAATACTTACTAATACCTTAATGATGCTTAATTAACATGATTATGAAGTGCTACCAAAAGTTGGATGGCTAACAATTTTCTCCATCTTAATGAAAACAGAAATCATTGTTTGTGCTGATGGTAATAGAAACTCTAGATGCCCTTGCCACTTTTGCTAAATCTTCTATTAAGAACTTTGGGGTTAAGTTTTGACTCAGCTTTCTCTCTGGATGTTCAATTCAATTCAATTTTATTTATATAGCGCCAAATCACAACAAAAGTCGCCTCAAGGCGCTTCATAGATACAGAGAAAAACCCAACAATCA